CAAGCCTGGACGAGGACGCAAGGTTATTTTGCCACCACACACAGTGAGGAGGATGATAAGAGAAATAAAAAGTTCTCCAAAGCTCACTGTTAAAGAATTGCAACAAATGGTAGCATCTTGGGGTCACAAAGTCTCCAAAACAACCATCAGGCGCTATCTACATGCCAACAAGCTGTTTGGGAGGCATGCACGGAAAAAACCTTTTCTCACTCACAATCATAAACGCAAACATCTGATGTTCGCTAAACGGTACTGGGACTTCAACTGGGACCGTGTGCTTTGGTCAGATGAGACCAAGATAGAGCTTTTTGGCAACAAACACTATAAGTGGGTCTCATGGAACACAAAAGATGAGTATGCAGAAAAGCACCTCATGCCCACTGTGAAGTATGGGGAGGATCGGTGATGCTGTGGGCCTGTTTCTCTTCCAGAGGCCCTGGGAACCTTGTTAGGGTGCATGGCATCATGAACGCTTTGAAATACCAGGACATTTTAAATCAAAATCTGGTGGCCTCTGCCCGAAAGCTGAAGATGGGTCGTCACTGGGTCTTTCAGCAAGATAATGACCCTAAACAAGTGGCCAAATCTACACAGAAATGGTTCACCAGACACAGAATCAAGCTCATCCCATGGCCATCTCAGTCCCCAGACCTCAACCCCATTGAAAACCTGTGGAGTGAGCTGAAGAGGAGAGTGCAGAGGAGAGGACCCAGGTCACTGGATGATTTAGAGAGATTGTGCAAAGAGGAATGGTCGAAGATCCCTCTTTCTGTATTCTCCCATCTTGTGAAACATTATAGGAGAAGATTAGGTGCTGTTTTGTTGGCAAAAGGGGGTTGTACAAAGTATTAACATCAGGGGTGCTAATAATTGTGGCACACATGATTTGATGTAAAAGAATTATTTCTTAATGTGGATTTTTTTTTTTTTCCCACTGAATAAATGCACTTGAATTAAAGGTTGGATTTTCCTCTTTTTTTCATTGTGGTCCTATATTATTTGGAAAAAAACTGAATTTATTAGAAGCTAAAGAACACATCTTAACCAGGGGTGCCAATAATTATGGAGGGCGCTGTAATATTCATACTAATGCATCAGAGTTTAAACAAAGCCATTAAGGCATGCAATATTGATGAACAACATTTCAGTAATCCCCTTCTTAAAAAATGGTTTGGTCCATGCTTCGCGCTTGTCTTGGAAAATTGTCGGTGCGTTTTTGCTGGCGAGGTCGTGAACTAAGGCAGCAAACAGGGAGCACCGCCCTTGCGAATACCATGTCCAACTTAAAAAAAAAAAAAAAAAAAAAAGCACACACACAAATCTTGACACTGGAAAAGAATAGAGAGAGGACAGTAGGAGCAGAGCAGGGGTCCAGAACATTACAAAATTCTTTTCAAAGAAAAGTGAGAGTATTTAAGTAGCTTGCAATGTTAGCTGTTCAGGCTGGCTGTTCAGCTGCTAACGTTACGTTAATGTAACATGCAGTCAGCTGTGTAAATAATCGCCTGACAAGAATGACATTACTCAGTTTTTAACGGTATCATCCACAGAAAAGATCGGTAAGGTTATCATTCACCAGCCATTATAATATGCCGTCAAAAAATCCGGTAGCAGAAGGACAAGTTCCTCCTTTCTTATTATGAGTGGTTACTGCATACTTAGCTCTCTCCAGCTGTAAGTGACTGTACAGGCTAGGTTTGGCTTGCGAACTACATGCAATCAGTGTGGCAACCTTAGGTGTAACTTAAATAATCGCTTGGCAGGGCTAACATTACTTTTACTTTCTTACATGAGTGTTTACTGAAACTAAACTGCTACTTTATTCTGTTGACAGAAGTCTTATTAACGCAGGGGGTAATTTTACAGAGCTTATCCTCCTCATACAATATCAAAATGAAGCTGGGTGCTTAGAGCTATGGTACTGAGAAGCCCATTTAGATTTTGTTTATTCCAAGACTCGGTAGGTTAGTTCTTCATCAATTGTTCCATAGAACATAACTGTAAACGTTTACAAAAGTAATATGAAATGGAACAATGAATCCTTTATGCACTGCTACTCCAGAATCAGCTGTGGTCACTTCATCTGAACCTGACCCAGCAATAGACTGTCACTACCAGCAGTCTGAAGATGTTTTTGATGGTGAGTGAGTAAGTTGATGTGAATAAGACAACTAATAATTCATAATTTACATGTTGAGTGGTTAATTGTAAAAAAAAGAAAAAATTGGGTGTACAATAGAACTCGCCTAAACCGTCATCGTATAAAACGGAAACTCGCTCATACCGGACAACAGCTGAAGTCCTGTTTTTTCTGCAATGTTTTTCCATTAAATAAACATCGGATATACCGGATTTATGATTTTATTTTATTTTATTTTATTTTACTCTATTTTATCGCTTTTATTGTTTTTTATTGTTTTTATTTACTGTTTTACTTACTATCTATTGTAAAGCACTTTGGTTCACCTGTGGGTGGTTGTAAAGGGCTGTATAAATAAATAATGTTTAAGTTTAAGGATTTTGTATCACAGATTTTTGCTTACATCGGATAAAATGTCCAGTCCCGTCACAATGTATTTCCATTAAAAGACACTCGTGCATACCGGACAAGCTGGTTTGCTCCATGCACGTGCCCAGTTGCAACAGAGCAACGAAATGAAGTTCGGCTTTCCTATTCGCGGAAACTGAAACTGGCGCGGTTTCCATCCCAGTTTCAGCAACACACAATATCATCCTTACTGTTCTAAACTCGCACCTCCTTTTTTGTTCAAATAACAAGGAGACAATGCGTTAATTTAACTGTTACATTCAGCCAGTTTATGACAGTGCATTGTGTCAGGGCAAAGACGGACTAACTGAAGACAACAGTGTGCACTTCAGAATGAGGTTGTTCCGATATTAATACAAAAAGCATGCATATAAATTCATACATATCACGGATATAATCTGTTATAAGCATATTGCAGATATAATCTGTATTATGTATAACGGATTTTGTCCGTTTTATGCATATAGCGGATTTCACTTATAACGGACAAAATGAGCTGGTCCAATTGAATCCGTTATACGCGAGTTTTACTGTATTGCATTAGGCACTGCCAGGAACACTGAGAAACAGAAAAATAAAGAATAACATCATGATACATAGTTGTAAAAAAAATGGCAATGAAAAGTTGGGGTTGGGGGCCCACACTGATATTCTGTCAGGGGGCCCAGAATTCCTAGCAACTGCCCTGCCTGCAAGGTGAAGGATCCAACAGTTTGAAGCAGGTTTGACTTAAGTGCTACTTCTAAGGCACAGTTGTCAAACTTTTGTCCTGGAGAGCAACAGCTTTAGCTGCTCTGTGGCGTGTTTCATCATAGGTGATTACTTTAGGTCACTCGTTTGCTTCTTCGTCTCAAGACCAAACCTGGCAGCTGATTTAAAGGAGACATGAGTACCTGCAGGAACTCTGGCCTTCCAGGACTACAGATAAGGACCACTTCTTTGAGGAGTTCTGATGAGATGAAGATGGAGCTTGAAGTGGTGCTGAAAGACCTGTTGGGTAGAGTCTTCCTTTTGTATTCAAGGATATCTGGTGCCTGAGTGCAGTGCACACAAGTATCATTTGAGGCCATGACTATCTCTGAGGTGTGAGACGTTATCCTGAGATCCTGATTCAGTAGTTGCAGTTAAGGCCAAAGTTAGCAAGGAACGGATGGAAATTCATTCTGTTGTATATTTACTGCAAATTGAAGCCAACCTCTGGCATCTGTATACTAGTCACGCTCAGTGGTGGTGCTGCTTATACATGCAGTTAAAAATAGATGAGTATTGCAAGACTAATGACTTTTCATTTCGTAAAATAATTGAGAGTCTCATAAAGAGGCATTAATCATTTCACATACTCCAGTCAAAATTAAGCATGGTCCTGGCGAGGCAGGCAGGGGGGTGGGGGAAGGCGTGGGTAGGTTGTCAATGGGATTGTGTTGAGGAAGGGTACGCATCTTTATCACTCAGATATGTATCAAAACCACGTAGCAACCAGATCAGGCGGCGCTGAAATGCCTTTACAAGATTGGCAATTTGAATCACCACAACTTGGACTTCCTTTTCAAATGTAAAGAGCACACTTTACCCATGCTTTTCACTCGTGCATTTCAGCATCGATACGAGAGGACAAAGACCATTATTATAAAAAAATCAAACAGAGTGAAACAAATGCCTTAATCATTAATTCCAGCACATTTGTCTTTACTGTCATTAATGATGCTCTCAAAATAGTTCAGGATAAATATAATACAGCCTGTGATGGCACTGATTTAGTGAATGGGACCATTATTTACAGTTGGTACTGATGGATTCAACCACTTAGAATATCACAAAAACAGCCTATTTCAAAGTAAATAGATGGCCACCAAAACAAACACTCCTACTTGCTAATCATTTGTTAAATCCAAGGAAAAGTGCAACCGAGGCTCAGTTTGGTTTGGCTTCGGTTCAGATAATAGTTGCCAATGACTCAATTACTTTTATACTGGGTCCAGTTCTCCAGACACATATTAAGCGCCACCTAAACTAAAGTCAGCTTTAAATCCAGGACTAAGCCTAATCTGTGTCTCTCTAATTGCCCCTTAACGTTTGCCAAATGACAAGAAATGCTGAACTATACTGGGTTACGAGAATTTCAATACAATAGATTTGTATTGTATTGGTCATTGTTCTCACATCATAAAAATAGACACTGGACAGCGACAGTGACATATTTCCGGACAATTTGTGGAAACCAAAAATGAAGACAGAACTAGGTGTACTGCAACAGTAAGTAACGTGAATAATTCGGTCAACATTTATCATCTATAACGTGATAAGTTTGACATGGTTGGAGGCAATAATGAAGTGTGAAAAGGGAGTAACTATGATGACGATATGTTTGTTGAAATTATGCTCAATGCATAGCAAATGTCCACAAATGGACTTGTTGAGTTATCAATATTCCTTTTGTGGCAGGCCGAAGGAGGGCCTGGGTGGGGGATTGAACCCCAGACTCTTGGGTGAGAGTCACTCGCGCTGACCACATCGCCAAAGAGCCAGGCATGTTGCCAAGGTAGCCAGAGGGCGTACTTATTAGGAGGCATTTCAAGTGACAGGACCCATCAACTGTCATACTTTCTAGAAAAGGGTTTGGCTGTGAAAAATCCATGGGGAATGATAGCAATTGATAGTTAGAAACTGTTGTTGGCAAATTTTGATTTCCAATTCCTTTGGCAACACTAAGGCCTGAGTGGGCAATGCCTCAACCTGCACACAACTGTCAGTGTCCCCGCTCATCTTGTATGATATCTGAGTAACTTGAGCACTTATTATTTATCTGTATATTTCAACATTAATCAAAAATCTGCTTTTTTAACAACAGCCTATAATATAAAGACATGCTTTAGCTACCTGTTACATGCTCAGATAATATTAAAAGGCTATTCGATACCATCTCACACAGAGATGCAAATTTGTTGTGACTGAGGTGCGGTTAGCCACTTTCACTGCTTGAAAATGTGAAAAGTGGTTAAGTTGCAATCAATAAAATAGTTTTGTTGAAAAACAATATACTCTGGGAATTCCCCAGCATCTTCACTTCTGAAGATGGTAATATGAACTTTCATCACAATTACCATCTGCAAGAATCTTCCGTAAATAAAAGACCCCTGGGCTGATTGAAAAGTGCAGAAGACTCCTTAAATTAATGGGCAAGTGGCTCCCACTGAATCGATTGCCTGACTGAATAACAAAATCCACCACTCCAGCATACATATCTGTCATTGTACAAATAATGTTTTGTCTAATAAAAAAGGTATGATGGAAAAGTGTTAAATACATAACTTAAAAATAAAAAAATAAAAAAAAATTATTTTTGAATTGCACAGTACTGTGATGGCCCACAACTGGATAAATACCATACTTGAAGAGCCAAATGCTCATTTGCAGAAAAGTCGGGCGATCCAGCAGTTTCTTGCCAACACTGCCTCAGGCTAAGTAAAAGTCATTCTAAATGTCTTATCAAACACAATCTGACTTTTTGAGTAATAATGGCTCCCCTGCACATTCATACTGGGAGGCCATTTTAAGAAAAATTTGATTAAATACTATTCATCCTAATCTTGGCTAATTGTGTTCTGTGATTTGGTGGTATCCATCACTGCATGAAAAATCAATAATTGCATACTTTTTGCAAATGTGACAGAGCCTCTCAGCTGGAGGTAAAGAAGTGAGGTAAAATCAATGAAAGAGACTGAAATCAGCTTTCTTTGGTCAAACTTTATCTTATACAATGCCTTTTTTTGTCCTTTCAGAATTGCCCATACTCATTGAGAATGTGCCCTATGAATTTGACAGTGGCATTAACGTCTAGACTTTTCATGTTAAGTTTAATTGAGTAAGCATTAATATGCTGCAAACCTCTATCATTTCAAGTAACGATTTAATTTACATTACAATCCAGCATTTATCTTATTAAGAGAAACACTGACATTTTTTGACACAATCCATTAATAAAGAATGATATTTGACTGAATTGTTTCAAGTCGTAAGCATACCGTCCTCAAAAGCACAATGGCAGGATTTCACTTGAAATTGAGCTCACAACCTCGAAGTTTGAGGGCACTTGCAATTATGAAAGGCTTTGGTTTATTCACATGCTTTCACTTATTTTCATTTTAATCACACTGTATATCATTTAAGTATTTCATTGTTGTTCAAATGTGGGCTCTACATTTTATTGCACTACAGCAGGAACTAGAATGTAAACTTTATGAACAAAATTTAAGTTGGGTCAAGAAAGCCAAACTGAAAGCAAACAGTCAGAATGAAGCTAACATTTCAAACAACCCAATCCCCAACTCTGTATGACAAAAGGTTAGACAGTTATGAATGGTAAAAGTCAATTTGCACAAGGAGTTGGACTTTGTCCATTGCCTTGTAACCCTTTCCTGAGTCCAACAACCCAATCCCCTACTCTCTATGACACTCAGATCAATAGTCACAAAGGAGAGAAGCAAAGTTAATCAGGAAATGGGGCGTGGCTTCAGCCATTAGCATGTGGCCCCTTCCTGAGTTCAAAAAACCTCACCCCGAACTCATGAAGACAAAGAGTTCCGAAGTTATGAAGAACGAAATATTGCCTGATCAATTCACTTGTGATCCTTTCCTGAGTCCAATAATCAGGGCTGCCTCCAAATACTCAAAAAATTATGTCCTATCCATTAATTCCCAACCACTTTTTTTCACCTTTGTGGAAAATATCATAAGATAAATGCACTTACACTAGGCAACGTGATCATGTGTCCCCTGCCTGCCATATATATTTCTTTTCGCGATTGGCCTGATGAATGGTCGTCGCTTTAAATATTGCTGCCGTGCGGAATTGTGGGATAGCGTTATATACCATTACATAGCCTTAATACAAAACATTAGCTAGTTACCGACATTAATGATTCACAATGAGAATGTTTATCTAGAATCTGCAACAAACTGGATGGCCTACCATCATCTGTTAGAGGCCAGGATTCTGGTTCCTGGAAGAAGTTAAGAGCCAGAGTCTGTAACTATGAACCAGGGGGTGATATATCATGTTCCAGTAGGCCACTGAAGATTTTTGTGGGGGTAGATATCTCGTCCAAACTGACAAAAATTACGTTTTTTATCAGAAGATCCCTTCAGGCTGGAAATTACAGCCCTTTTTAGGGTAGGGGTCAAAAGGGCCAAAATAGTGACATGGTCAAAATCTGGACTTTGTCCTTCTAATATCTTTGTGTGCCCTCTGTAAACCTCCTTGATCTTATGGTATATGAATGTATGGGTAGAGTTCTTCCATTTAGCATTATAATTTTCAAGGTTTACTGAGGGCGCCGCCTATAGGTGGCCCTTCAAATCATGACTTTCTGCATTTTGGACTACATCTGAGACCCTCCCAGGGCCTGCGCCCTCATTAAACCTTGCTAATTTATGTGTATTTGGATACATTGGGCCTATTTCTTTCCAAATTTGCATAAATGGTGGTGGCTTAGTTAGGGCGCTTTTGCATAGGTGGCGCTTCTTTTGGCAAGAACACGATTTTAGGCGATTTTCATTTGGCCATATCTCAGTGCGCCCCCGATGGATTTCAGTGAAACTTGTTTTAATATGTTTGTCTATATCTCTGCTATTAGTTATAGAAATTTCAAGAAGGCTTTTGAACTCATTAACCCTTTACATGCCAAAGTTTGATGTATGTCACAAACAAGCACCACCACCACTGAAAAATGCCCATTTTTGTTTTAGTCCCCACCAACCAGTGGCGAGAATTATTTGAGCATTTTCAGAGCATTGAGGCAAGAGAACTTATTCAAAAAAGCAACAATTTTTAAAATGTTAAAACTGAAATAAAATAAAAGAAGAGACATGAAGTATTAGTAAACTCTGTATGCACCAAAGCAGAGGCAAACCTAGCTTTTTGGTCCTTGGGGGTCCTTATAGTATTCATATTCATCAAATGAGTCATGCAGCAAAGTATTCTGCATTACTTCAAACCATAGCGGTAACCATAGTACTTTTCAGAGGGGGTTGAGGACCCTGTCTTTACATTCTGCATTGCTGCATGCATTATGCATATACACAGGCCACACCCATTCAACAATGTAATCAGAAATATATGATCTAATATCTTGGGAGCAAAACTAATCGTTAGCACCATATCCCACAAGGTAAAGATGGAACGATGTACTGCTCGCAGGTCTTAAAATCAGAAGATGTTTGTGATAAAGCAGGATTTCCACGGCTCTATTCAGACTCTGAACATGCCATCAAAACATGTGGTCGCAGCAGTGCTGCCACCTGCCATATGAGCCGCCTATTGGAGCATTGGAGAACTAACCTTTTGTCTTTCTTGATTAAAGTGGAGTGTGATCTGGTGTGAACGTTTTAGCACAAAGAGGCAAAAAGCCTTCTTCATATTTTCATCATGAATAGCAGAGATATAGAGAAACACAATAAAACAAGTTTCACTGAAACCCATAGGGGGCGCACTGAGATATGGCCAAATGAAAATCGCCTAAAATCGTGTTCTTGCCATAAAAAGCGCCACCTATGCAAAAACGCCCCAACTAAGCCACAGCTATTTATGCAAATTTGGAAAGAAACAGGCCCAATGTATCCAAATACACATAAATAAGCAAGGTTTAATGAGGGCGCAGGCCCTGGGAGGGTCTCAAACGTAGCCCAAAATGCAAAATGTCATGATTTGAAGCGCCACCTATAGGCGGCGCCCTCAGTAAACCTTGAAAATTATAATGCTAAATGAAAGAACTCGACCCATACATTCATATACCATAAGATCAAGGAGGGTCACTGAGGGTGCACCAAAATATTCGAAGGTCAAATTCCAGATTTTGACTATGTCACTATTTTGGGCCTTTTCACCCCTACCCTAAAAAGGGCTGTAATATCCACCCCGAAGGGATCTTCTGATAAAAAAAGTAATTTTTGTCAGTTTGGAAAAAATATCTACCCCCACAAAAAACTTCAGTGGCCTACTGGAACGTGATATATCACCCCCTTCTATGAGCTGGTCCAAAGTTACAGACTCTGGCTCTTAAGCAAGGAACCAAGCAACTTGGGGCTAGTCTCATGATAGAACTAGCTAGCTACCTAGCTATCTGTTGCATATCACGGACCAGTTTTTGCCTGGTGTCACAAAATTTTTCTCTACCAAGAGTCCAGATCCTGGTACTAGGGAGAGATGAAGCTATAAACTGTGTGAGTTGGGAGCTACCTAGCAAGGTAGCTTCCTATCCAGCTATCTGTTGCATATTGTAGGACCAATTTTTTCTGCGTCGTTGCAAAGATCTAAGTTAGCTAATCTGTATTCAAAACTACATAGTACCTAATGAAATTGGATGCGAAAGAAAAAAACGCTGTAGCAAATAGTTTGTTATGAATATATTGATGTTGCAACTTCTATATATTGTTTTGTATTGTATTCGTGCCGGGGCATAGGGAAGATATATGGCGGCATGTAGTGCACTCTGGAAAAGTACACATACATTGATGACTTTCGTGAATAAAA